AACATCAATAACATTGTTGGTTTTATTCTTTTCATTTTCAACCCATTTTTTGATTGCATTTAATGTGTTGGTATCTTTCGGCATACTATTTTTACTGAGTATCTTGGAGACAGTGGATTGTGCAAGTGCAATCTTCACATCACTAATATCACGTATTTCATTTGCAATCTTCCATTGCGTAGTAGATTTATCAGACATACGTAACCTATAATAGTGATTGAATTCTCTCAAGATTATTTTTTGTTCGTCAATTGAAATCGATGGTAATGACGACGGTGATGAAGATTCAGATTCAGGAGGCGATAATGATGTGGAAGGAAAAGTGATCGATGGAATTGATTTTGAAATTGTTTGTGTGATATTGATTGTGGTGATATTGGCTGTAGTATTGGTTGTGGTATCGGTTATCGCATTGGTTGTGATATCGGTTGTGGTATCTGTTGTGGTAATTGGGGCAGTTAGAGGAGTTGTTGATTTTCTTTTATTTACATAATTATCTACTACATGGGTATCTTCTACAATTACACCATCTCTACTAACATCTACTCCTATTACTACCATTTCATTATCTTTTACTACTTTACCTATAACGACTTTTTTATTATGTTTTTTATTGTCTAGGTTTTTAGATTTCCTTTTCAATAAATTCTCTCTTCCTCCCACTTCTCCTACTGCTGTTTCTCTCACCGTATCTTCTTCTTCACCATCACCACTAACACTGCCAACACTATTTTTTCCTTTAACATCACCAACTCTAAAGTTGGTAGAAATAATATTAATTGTGTTGTCGTTACTAGAAGAATTATGTGGCTTTTTCCAAAATTGATTTCTTAAATTTCATTTCTGCATGGTCCTGGTATTATCATTACTTGGGTGATGCAATTTATCAATTTATTTATTTGTTAACTCTTTACAAATTAAGGACAATGGTATCAAATGTATTACTAATACGGAAATTCGCAATCTTCCGTATCATGAGAAAAAATGTATCAAATTTCAAATTAACTGAAATTATTATTACATGTATTTGATCTATAGATAAGGAAATTTCATATGAATTAATAAAGTATACATATCATGAGAAAAAACGTATCAAATTAACTGAAATTACCACAACTCAGTCAATATCTGTCTGTTTTG